GTGTTGAATTTTACCATTTTACTGCTTTTAAAATCATCAAAACCATACCACTTATTAGCTTTGACCTAACCAAGATTTGAGCGAATTAATCATGGTAACCAATGTCAATCGAATTCACTTTGGAACTGACTTAAAGAATACTACGCCAAACGTGTTACTGCCTATTAGTAGAAAACTCACTTGCGTTTTTCACACCCGAAAATTTACCGCAGATAGCGGGAACCGAGCTGGCAACCGTCTGGTTGCCTAGCAGAAGCTCCACAAGTTTAGCTCTGCTATTGCACAAGTAAGTGTTCCATTAGACAACATTAAGTTGCACATCACTTTATATTTGCCATCATTGTTCCGTATAATGTGAAATAATTAGGGGAAAACATTCATGATGGAGATAATCTTATTTGAGTTTCAAAACACCAGTAATTACCCCTTAGTTATGAAAACGAATGAACAATAAGAAAGACAACTCTGATCAATTTACACGTGAAAATTTTAGACCTGGTCTTCGTCTCTATGATTGCGGACCAGTGGGGCAGCATAAAATCAAAAGAAAATGCATCAGAACCACTCGGCTTATCCAACGAAGTTAAACAAAGTTCTCCTTGAAATGTTTGATTTTCAGGAAAATAATCGACCAAAGAAGACAGCAAATAGTTACTTCAAAGATCTCTGAAAAAAATATGTATACACTTCTTGACGTGCTTGAAAGTGTGTGACAGTTCACTGGACCAGGATAAAATAAGAGTTTAGTGTTTGTGTGAATGTAACTCACAGTGCTGCTATGGTTTCGCCGTTGATTGATAAAATAGTCACTTGAAGTGCAAGGATGTAAAGGTGTGCGATTTCAGGCAAACAGTGGTCTACAGAAAGAAAGACTTTTTTGATAAACAGGTGTGCACTCCAAGAGGCAACAAGTCAAAGCCGACTGAACACATGAATAAGTAGGTGAAATGGTAATAGTTCACCCAAAACCAATTGGTCTTGATCTATGAATGTGAAATGAAAACGGATGCTATCTCCTGGTATCCATCGGCTTGAAGAATCTATACAAATCGGTTCGTACCATAAAATGTAGGTAACTAAAGAAAAGTTGAACGCTGTTGATTACGACAACTCGTTAGTTCGGGAGGATAGAGTGGAAATAAAAATACTTTTTGAATAAAATCCAGAAAGGAATAAAAAAACAAACACGTCATCAAACAGTGATGCAAAAAGCATGTGAATGAGTACAGTTGTATATCGAATCATCTTGTCAGTAAAAATTAAAAGTTGCTCCGGTTTGGCTGCAAAACTAGTGAACTGCTGGTGAGGGAAAGGTGAAAATATTGAGTAATACCTACAGAATTCTGTAACATGGAATAAAACCGGAGAATGCTGTTTTTTCACTCTATAGGAAAGCAAATAAGATATTCCCAAATGGGAACAAACGGACAGAAGGAAGTCACAAGCTATTCTGATGCGAATCAATAATTTAAATGTGGAGGGTTCATTTTAAAAAGATTTTCTGGAAGAATTCACCTCTAGAGTTGGGTTCAAATAAAAGTTACCGGGTTATTGGAAACAAAGACATAGATGAGCGCTAACTTGCTTAATGAATCCATTCTTGGAAATTTAGAGTTAGAATTTCAACTCCTATACAGGATATTAGAAAGAAATTAATCGTAGGCGGGTACATGGTACTATTATCATCACCTGTGGTGTTTGAGTAATCTAGAGTATTTGATTACCACTTCGGAGGTCAGAGGTTCAAATCCCCGCAGTCACCGGTTACTTTGGTGGTAGATAGCAATCCACTGTCGTCCGGCTCGTTACCACGCTTGACAAACTGGGACCTTATAAGTATCTCCACTTCAAGTCTCAGGGTTTGTTTGCCGGTCATTCTTAACGGTGCAGCGGGCCTTTTTTGCTATGAGGTATTCACCCCTTCCATTCCACTCATGTGGAATCATGAAATGAAAAATAATGAAAAGCCTACGGAGAGTTCTCAAACTATCATTATTTTCATCGTTATATTTTTTTACAATCAGTTTGCGGGAATGGTAGAGTATTTCACGTTGTGGCTGCGGAAAAAGAAGTGACCGGCAGCTGCAGAATTTGATCCAAGGATCACAATGTTCAGACTCTGCCGTGACCACCGTTCGAATTCCGCCATGTAGATAACGAAGCGAGTTCTTTGGTTGAAGGAATAAACAAGCTAGTGTCTTGAGTTTGATAGCAAACACTTCTTCACAAAATAATGACTTTTCTCAATGAAACTCAATCAAAAACAGTAAAATTAGATATTTTCGAGCATATTCCTTCTTTTTCAAGAGATGTTTTTTTCTATGATGGTACTGCCCGTTTTGTTCCCGCACGTGATAGACACGAGAATTATAAAAAAATGTTAAATCATAATCAGAACGTTACGGTGATTGGACTTGCTTCCGGCAAACATCGAGCTGACTGGTGTTTATCCTGTCCAGAAAGAGGATACGTAAATCAAAAGTTAGTAGAAGACCTTTAAGCGTGGTTTTACAGAACTTCCAAAATCGATATAAGAGGATCGTCTAAGAGGAGCAAAATGTATGGAGTTATGAGAGAATGGATACATAGGCTTTAATGGGCAAAAGAAGTGAAACGCATTGGTAAAGTTTATCAAAAAAGTGAAAATACTACTAGATAGAAGTCAAATAACACCCTATCACAGAAAGCGTTTCATAGATGTCTAAAGTTTTTAACATTGTTTCAAGAGTCAGGAATGTCACAAAACTTCACTTTTCATTTTCATCCGATCAATTTTGCCCATTTTTGCGACATATTTTCCCTCCTTCGAAGAGTGCCTCGCTTTCCGGGTGGATGTGGGATCCCCTAAGATGGACAAGGCACATGTCTTGGTTAGCAGTTTTCCTCATCACGAGCACAAAAATGCTGAAAATAATTTGACGAATACTGCTTATTTTACCGCCCATTTGGAATTAATAGCTTTTCTATTTTCACCCGTTCTATTTTTCACCACTGATTTTTGGAACACAAATAACTACAAAGCTTTGACAAACAATCAGCAACTTATCAAAGATCAAAGCTAAATGCATTAGGCTCGATCAGGCTAATAGAAGAGCTGAACCACATATAAAACCCAGAAAGATAAACAGTGATTTTCACGACTGAGTGATTTATAGCTTGTAAAGGATGTACTTGTTACTGCCGTATAAATTTATACGATCTGAGAGAATTGTATTGTATCACAATGGAGAAAAGCTTGGGTGAGATGCATACTTCTTGTTTTCTTTTGTTAGCAATGTCCTTCGCAGCTAGTGTCGATAAATAACGGAGGCAGATAAAAAAAATGCATGAGAACCATTGTGTTTAATTCGGCTATGATTGATATGGCTTGCTTTTATATTGCAGTGATGGAATATTCTAAAGAGGACAAGATTCTATCTACAATCCGGTGGATGAAAGTGCATTCATTTCACAAAACACTGGACTGATCGAAAATGTGTGTGGATCTCAACGTACATCGGTGGAATAACTGTTTCCGAGATCATTTGAATTTCAGATTTTTCAAACCACTATTCATTAATACTGGGTGCTGTTCTTTTCTGCTAAATGGAACACTAAATCAATGTGCTACCTTTGGTGTATCCAGTTGCACGCATTTTATAAAGATAAGAAAAGTATGTGGCATCATGGAGCAACACAAGACAGGCTATCCGGGCTGGCTCACAACTGTTTGTTTACCATCAAACATGCAACATATCGACTTCTTCTGTCACTGACACGTAAAGAGTAACAAGCCTTTTGTTCGCAATGCGATCCACACTCGACCTTCGGGAACCGAGGGGCAACAAAGGTATTCTGTTACCGAGACTAACCTATGCAAATCAAAACTCCTACTTTTCACGTGGTTATAGTAGCCCAACTCTGAATTTATTCCGGGCTATTCGAACACTATAAATCATGTGATTCCACGCTCAAATCCTCAAGGTTGTGTTATTCTGGTTATTATTTATGACTGTAATTTACATCTTCATGAGTTGGGCCCAACACTTGCATTGTGATGAAGAAAAAACAAGAAATTTGATGAGAACGGATCACTGGACATGGAACTTTGATTAGAATTTATATTCAGTTTTTTACTTCTAAGGCTCCAGAAGTTCCCAAGAGCCACTGCAAAAAATGAAAACAGAAAGCTTTGCAGTGTTCATGACACTACAGTGAATCAAGAGTTTTTTTTCTAACCATCCAGTTCCGTTCCTCCACAGCCACAGAATCATGAAAGTAGCATAACCAACCTCAGACTCCACTTGGATGAGATCTTGGAGATTGCTTTCGCTAGTTTTCTGTCTAGGCTACCGTGTTGGTGCTTGCGTGGATGATAAAGCGGACTTTCTAGTTGTTTGTTTGTTTGTTTGTTTCGATCTCCTAATTCTGCTGCTTATTTTTCAAAACTCACCATGGCCATCCAGGTAAAATATGTTTTCTATTCAACCTGATATTCTTTGGAGGGAATAATGTAAACCACTGATTCACACGAAGAAAATCTACTTTCCCCCAGTCAGTGTAGTGAGCGTGAGTATGATGAGAAACCGTCGGCTTCAATAATAATCGGCGATTGAGTAACAGGCTTTCAAAAGAGCAATCCAATTTCAGCACTCCTTTCTACAGTAGAAACAGCTCTCGAAGAAAATTTGGATGGATCTGCATATTCACGAAAGCCATCGCATAATGTTCGATCGAAGTCAGTCCTACAACTATTTGAATTATTTGAACTCCACAAACAATAACGCTAGTTTATTCTCCAAATTACGGCTGGGGCGACCAAATACTTACCAGTCCAAACAGACCCACGAAGCATTGCTAAGCCTTCATGGTCTACAGCGGATCACTGATGAAATAGTGTGTCAAACTCAGACTTAAGATACTGATTTGTTTCACAATTCGCCAACAATTTTCACTGGAAAACTGTATAAATATTCTTTCGCATCATCTCGTCCCTCTTTCTTGGCCTTACTTCCTTTCAGTACACAACTGAAGACACTATCACAGCAGTAAGTTATTCACTCATTCATTCATCCATTTGTGCATTTATTTGTCTCATTTGAACTTAAATTGCTCGGCGTGCCTTTGAAACAGTAGGCGAACACACACAGAACAAACAAATAGTTTTTTACCTGTCTGCTTTAAGTTGTGACTTGAATAACGCCATATATCCTGGTCATTGTTCAATGAGCACAACAGGTGGTTTCCATCGTACCTCACTGGGGGACTGCGGTTCACAAACTATACCCGTAAATATGGCACATACAGAACCTGAACTTTTGTATGAAACAAAATTAGATAGATAGATGGGTAGATAGATAGATAGATAGATAGATAGATAGATAGATAGATAGATAGATAGATAGATAGATAGATAGACAGATAGATAGATAGATAGACAGATAGATAGATAGATAGATAGATAGATAGATAGATAGATAGATAGATAGATAGATAGATAGATAGATAGATAGATAGACAGATAGATAGATAGATAGACAGATAGATAGATAGATAGATAGATAGATAGATAGATAGATAGATAGATAGATAGATAGATAGATAGATAGATAGATAGATAGATAGATAGATAGATAGATAGATAGATAGATAGATAGATAGATAGATAGATAGATAGATAGATAGATAGATAGATAGATAGATAGATAGATAGATAGATAGATAGATAGATAGATAGATAGATAGATAGATAGATAGATAGATAGATAGATAGATAGATAGATAGATAGATAGATAGATAGATAGATAGATAGATAGATAGATAGATAGATAGATAGATAGATAGATAGATAGATAGATAGATAGATAGATAGATAGATAGATAGATAGATAGATAGATAGATAGATAGATAGATAGATAGATAGATAGATAGATAGATAGATAGATAGATAGATAGATAGATAGGTAGATAGATAGATAGATAGATAGATAGATAGATAGATAGATAGATAGATAGATAGATAGATAGATAGATAGATAGATAGATAGATAGATAGATAGATAGATAGATAGATAGATAGATAGATAGATAGATAGATAGATAGATAGATAGATAGATAGATAGATAGATAGATAAATAGATAGATAGATAGGTAGATAGATAGATAGATAGATAGAAAGTTAGTCAAGGTTTGTTTCTACTAGGCTACTCTAATGGAAAAAAATGAATCAGTTTGATCTTTGTGCTCGTAATTTCTTCCTACTTTCCCATCCTAGAAAAAAATCAAACAGCGTGAAGTTTTCTATTCTCAATTTTTTTAAGTTATTTTTGTCAGTGTTTGTTTTTCTTACGGTTGTGCAAAATAATGTAAGTTTGGTTTATGCTTCTCTGTAGAATGCTGACGACATAGCTAGCATGTGATTGGATGCCCAAGACCTGTCAGTGAGTGTGGGTTAACATATTCGCCTAGTGACAGACTTAACGAAAGAATGGACACAAGCCGAGAAGTAGAAACTGCACACGCACGCACGCCCACACACACACCGATTCACACCCAGCTCATCGATCGCATAGGAGGGTATCAAGGCTCGTTAATGAACAGGTAGACAGAAGCCGTCTTAGCCAATCAGCTATCATTGACCTCAACGAAACTAATGGGTATACCCTGAGGAAACGAATCTTATTTCTAGTCAATGCGGGAACCTAATTAAAACGGCAATGTTTCGGTCTTCTGTATCTCGCGTGGTCTGATATTGCTCCAGTCCCTCAAGGGCTTATCTACGTAATGTGGTCAGTATTACGGGTTCTTTTTGTTTCGAAAAGACCATAGAAAAATCATCCATTGGGATACTTTCTACAGTTTGAGCAATGCATCACCCTAGCTGAAAAATATCAACCTGAATTACATTTAATTTGAAAATCATCACACAGCTCCCAGACGTAATTCGTCGGATCGTGCGTGTGTGCGTGCATAGGCGATTATTCTTAAGTGGTCTACTGTTGTTGGTGAGGCAATGTGGACAAATTGTTGTTGTGTAACCAAGAGAAGATCAACCATCTTGCAAAACAGTACTTCTCAGTCGGCAAGTGTGCCCATACCTGCTGCAACGCAAGGACTAGGGAATTCTAGTGTGTATGAACCATCGGAAAAGACAATCAATGATCTGAACGCGAATGGTTATCAATTACGTCACGAACGCCGTAGTTTACCGGACGTTGTGATCACTTCAGCATCAATGGCATCTACAAAACCGTGTATACTGAAAAAACCCAGTCTCCAATTAGACAGTGAAACCGGCCGGCGACCTACACTGGATGTAGAAACAACAGCGCGTTTGGCCGAGGCTGAAAGCGTTGGTTTTGATGAGGCTGTTGGAGCTGATGCAACACCAATGAAGACGGATTATCGCTCCAAGAGCTTGGGGGCCACGCAGTTGTCAAAACAAATACACGGAAGCCCGCAGACTAGGGCATCAACTAGCAATGCAGCTCATCATAACGATACATCAATGAATAAAAACTTAAAGAAGAACAGCTTGATGCGACTGTCCACCTTAAAAAGATTTCAGAAACATTTACGGAAACTGGGTTCTCTAAAACTTAATCATACTTCCGAGAAAGTGGGATCCGATGGGTCTGAGGATGACCCAACTGTTTCCCTTCGTCGATCAAAAGAATCCCATTTATTAGAGGAGGAAGATGATTTGTCTGAGCCAACATCCGTCGGAGATCGTCTCGGTCAGTTGCCTCCTAAGTCAATGTCAAGGAGTTCTCGACTGGCCGGATATGGTGCTGGTGAGGGAATTTACAAATCAATTAACATAACCGATAAGTTAAATTCCACTCATAGTAGTACAACCGCAGCTGTCCCTCGGCCTGGTGGAATAAGACGAGGTTCTTTGTGTATTTTCAGCCAGGTGGATGAACCCATTGTGACTCCGTTTGCTCAAATCCTTGCTAGCCTGCGGAGAGTTCGTGCGAATTTCATACTCTTGACAAATGTGCACAGTTCAAAAGAGTAAGTCCAATATATATGTTCTTGAAAATTCAGGTTACTTTTTACCTTTTTCGGACTGATACGAATAGATCCATATTTTACTAACATTTAGCGTGAATAGGAACCCCAAATTCGAAACGGTTCAACCAGTGAGCCTGGAAAATGCATGTGGCCAATACGGTATACTTACTTTTCCCATCGATTGCTCTGTGTTTAGCACTGTGTAGAACGTTGTCGGAAGTTAAATCAATTCCATTCCAAGTTTAGGTTTCCAAAGTAACCTTCCTCGATGCAATCAAAATAGAGTAAATTTGAAATTTCACAGGATATTGTTTTCTTGATGCTTTCTGCATCATACTCGGTTTCGATGAAAATTCTGTTATTTTTCTTTTCACTTCTGACCTTTTAAACCTGCTAGTTAAGCAATATTGTTTCCAAGCACATCGAAACTTGTACGGGGAACGTAGAAAACCTGAAAAGGTATGAAACCCATCACCCATTTTGTATAAAATGAAACTAACATTTGGGTTTCAAGCCCAAATTGCATTTTCTGTCTCCTGAAATTAACCGGTAATTTACCCTGCATTCATCAAGTTCAAGAGCGATAGCTTAGTCAGCATGATAGTCCGACAGTTTTGTGCGACATATTTACTCCAATTCTCACCAGTGCCGTGAACTGTTGCCATTAACGTAGTATAATACAGAAGTAGTTCTAATTTTTTGGCACCCTGGATAGTTAATTGCCCGGTATTCTCCAAACATGCTGGAAAGCAAATTGTCACACTAGTGTGGAACTCCTAAATGTTGATATATATGAATTTCCATGTTCGCATGAGATCATGTGACATAAATCTGACAGAAAGTGCTTCCGACCGATTATTTCCCCTCTTATTATTACAAAGATTCGGCACGCGAAGGGTAAACAGGCAACGCCCTATCCTCTCTCACATCCAATACAAAAAGCCCGGTTTCACAGTCAACTGAACTGATTCAGTTTGTGAATGCGCCAGTTTTATTTATTAGATCAGTTTTCGAATATCGCCGATTGTTCACCTTATTCCTAACTAGAGCTTTCCTTTGGTAGGGGTGCCAGGAGATCAACCGAGATCGAGGTTGACATCTTTAATTGGGACAGCTACACCTTCGGATACAATTTATCAATAACGGGAGATTCCTCACATTCAAACACTCTGCTTCATCTGCCGCCGTAGAAAGCTCTAGCCTCGCACCATAACTGACTTTATTCGACTAACATATATATACAGAAGTGAAATAATAGTTTGAAAGCTGGAGCAGAACAAAGGCGTAATAATATCTTGGAACAGTAAAAATATTTTTAAACAATCTATTCAATTTCTCGCACTATCATGAAATTTGTTTCACTGGAATAACAAAAAATACAGTTCATCGGTTAAAACATACTTTTTTATCTTACATCTCAATAAAAATGAGTGTAATGAATTGGGCAGAAAGTTATTTTTTCCCATTCCCATGAGGGTTCTCATTCACGAGGCAAAGTGGGGAAAATGACAATGAACTATATATTCGGTGTATTTTCGACCTGAAACACACATAATCGCCATCACCAAAGACTAAACGGTGAAATGGAAGGAACTTATAAATTATGAACAATGTCCATGTGTCAAAAAGTGATTAGGTAATCATCAAAAATGGTGTTGACTACTTAGGAAAAATGAGAGGTAAACTGTTGTTGTTCTGTGGTTGGGAAAAGAACCAGTGGAACCTTGAACATGGGTTTCGGGGATTATCTGTTCTCGGTTTCAACCCGAAGGTCGGAGTTTTTGGGTCACTCTGAATTCGAGGTTCGGTTTGGGATCAGGGCCAGAACAGTGCGAGTATTTCAACGAAAAGCCTTTTAAGAACAAAGCAATTGACTTAGAAATCCGATCGCTACAGCCTCTGCCATTGCTAGATATCGTTTCTGAGCAACCTTGGGTGTATTCGAAGGGACTCTGTGGTGCGGCAAGGTTGAATTGGATACGGATTTTCTGTTTCCCGTCCTCAGCCAAACTGGGTTTGTGATTTCTGGTCCTTTGAAATAGTTGCCGTGCTGTTCTACCTACGTAAATTACCGAACACGAGCAAAAACAAACAAGTAGGTTGGCTTGGACGAGGTAAGGACACGTAACTTTTCTTTTAGGTTCGTTGAGATTACCGATCACCCGGGGAATAGGGCACATAGTGTGGCAGCGGGAAAGGTGCAAGCGATTGCTTTTTCAAAGACTCTTACTAGTTACTCGCTTTTGTCATCTCCTTCACTGTCGCATGTTTCGCCGTTCTTTCTGCTATGTTCTTCTGAATAAAATAGATAATATAAGAACTAATGCTCATTGTCTCGCTGCCCCATTTCAAAACCAAAGAACACCAATCATTCCCCTCCTTACTTAAGTGACCAAGCAACACCCATTTTGACGACTACGCGGTCATTTTTTATCACACGGACATAGTCTATAACTTACGCGTTTTAAAAATACTAAAGTAACTATGTTAGCTATGAAGATGACGTTGCCAGAGAAAATCCGGTTCGCTATTCGTGTTTTATATGTATCATGAAATGGGATTATTCACTGAAACGGAAGAACCGAATTGCATTTTTCATACTTCTAACTTTACAACTGCCTTGCTTATTTTGCCTTCCACAGCTTACATTTTACTGAGGGTTTTTCAATTCTGAATAACTGGTTTACAGTAGACAAAAAATGTTTTTGTGAAACGTTTGGAGCATCTCCACGAAGACAATTTTGAAGAAAATATAAACACGTTATTTGCCCCTTGTATGTACACATCGACAACGTCTCTTTTTCATGTTGTGCGCTGTGATTAAAAGAATATCAGGCGAAGCTAAATAAGCTTTGGCTATTTTGTCCAAACATTTAAAGCAGAAAAAGGAACTATCGGAAACGGTTCCAGGAGAGCGTTTACAGTCTAACATTAGACAAATCACCACCTGTTTTCAGGTGCCCAAAATTAAGATAAACATTCCACTGTCTGTCTACTGGCCATATTACGTTCGGCCTAGAACTGTAAATTTGGCTAAATACTTCAAGTTGTCCAAATCCCACTGTTGTGTGCATCTTTTGCACAACTTCATACTGCTTCAGCACGTGTTCGGTGATACGCTAGCTCAACTATCTTCTGATTCTGTCTGTGTATTCGCATACACATGAATACGTAAACAGTGAATGATAATTTTGTTGACAAATGCTGACATCAAGGATACCCCTGTGATCTGCAGAACGTGTACGGTTTCCAATATGAAGAATATGGGTTTTTCTCATTGAGGCGGTGACTTGAAATAAGTTTATCGGCTGAGCTATCGGCTTTTTGATTCGTTGGTGTTTCTTCAACTTCTAAATATTTTTTCGCAAATCCCTTTGGGGAGAAATACGGTCACCGAAAGCATTGTCAGCTATTTCAATTGATTTGTTCATCCCGTTTACCGTTATCTGTTTTCTCAAAGTCTTATTCAATCAACACATGAAAGGGTACTTTAAAACTGTTGATACTGTTAGGCACATTTTTCAGTGATGCATGCCCTTGATCAGTCAGCCACCTTGAAGCCGTTCGGGAGTTTCCATTTTTCTTACTCTTCCATCATATACTTCAACTATGCGAATAATGTTATAATATTTCGGGATGGGGGTTGTAGCAAATTAGAGGCTTCGAACTGGGGAAAGAGGCTAGTGGCTGCGACCGGATTCCAACCCATGACAGGGGAATCTATAGTTCACGATGATTACAGTCAATGAAATAAAATATAATAATTAATAAACTATTTGACAACGGAAAGAATATTCTGATTCTCTTTATAACTGCTGAAGATTTGCGGCTTTTAATGTACTGACATGAATAACTGAGCTGTTCTTCAAGGCTGTTATTTTAAAAGACCAAACTTTTGATACTCGCAATATGAGCACTTATTTGTACGATACTTTCTGCAATCAGTATGACTCGCACTAAGAAGGTAACTTTGTTTCCGCATAACATTTTGGGAGCTGCCAAACAAAATTCAGCACTTATGAACAGAAATCAGACATCTGTCTGGCACATCCAGGTAGTCGACCAACTGTACGGTTCAAATTACAAATTTGAGGTTTGGAATTGAACACAAAGCCTGCAGACGTGTGGCTGGTGCCAAGCGCGTACGTATGACTAGTGTGTGTTACCCTTTTTGTGTGCCAACAGTAGAACAGTGAAGGCAATAGCAGTGATCTGTGGTCACTGGCTTGAAATTCTTTTTTTATATCTTGTTCATCAAAACAGATAGAAAACATAAATTGCGAGATGCAAGCATTTCTTTTAATCTTCTCAGTCACGTACGTAAAACATGCGATTTCGTGTTCAAATGGAGCACAGAGCAAAACAATGGAATAGGTAGTGTCAAGCGAAGTTAGGAAACCATCCGGTGAACTGGATTGGTTACCGCCACGGCAGGCACACATTGTGGGTCAAACGTTTCTGTGCACACAGTGGGGGCCTAAGTCTACTTATCCACACAGCCTCACAAAAAGCTAGAAGCTTTGGGTTCCGATTCCATGCAATCACTCGGAACGCTTGACCCGGATCAATCCGATGACGAAAGGTCACAAAGTGTTTCGCGATCGATGAAGCCGGGTTTCTAGTTCTCGTCTGTTGTCCGGGTGGAGGATGACTCATCGACTGCACTAACCACTTCGGTACATGCTCCCCCATTCTTTGACTGAGGCAACGATCCGTTCTGCCTATGTAGGTGTCACCGCAGCTGCAGGTGAACTGATAAATGATGTGAGAGGCATTCAGGTTCGCGACTCTGTTTGAATGTGCTTGTAGGTTTAGTCGTTTGGTGGTTTGCGAAATCTGCAATTCAGCCGCCAAGTAGGTGCGCTTTAGTGCACACTTTAGATTTTGGCTAATCCGACTGAACAGATAATCCCCTTTAAATGGCAACACTAGAGTAACTCGTTTCTTCTCGACCGTGTCGACTCGTACGGTCTTAGGCCTTTCTCTTTTGTGGATCTCAA